TTGAAAGAGGACTGAAAAGCAAGTGACCTCCTTCCATATGCAACAATGAGTTTTACACCATCACACACCACCAAACCACCTCACTGCATGTGTCCCAGACTCTGGGAAAATACTGCCCAAGGCCATGGAGTCCCTTCCCAGAAATCCATCCCTATGGCCCCACCATGCATAGCGGGCACCCTGCTCACTGGCCCTTAACCACTGGCCTTGTGGCAACTCTCATGCTGTAGCCTGGTACTGTTTATTAGCTACCTTCTTTCACAGGTCCCAAGACATGCATTTTCAACCTTTTAATATCTCTGAAGTTGGTGTGTTGCAAGTTATTTAGCAGTGTGTTTTCTTTCTTAGTAGTACATAAAATAATGATGTGTCCTTATAATTAATGGTGTCCTAGGTCCAGTAACACATGGGCAATTTCTCAGATTCTTATAAGTACTCTTTCAGTGGAAGGCCCTGCTTAGAACGTGATCCCAGAGCCCCTCAAACATTCAATAACAACTGGTGGAGAACTCCGGAGGTTCTACGCATGTGGGGGTGGGAGAGTATGTGGTCCTCCCCAATTTCAGTGGTGGCCCCAATATTACTCCTGAAGCAGGGCCCAGTCAGGACCCCCACAGTAGAGGCCTCGCCGCATCCCCGGCCTCACCTTTCCTTGACCTATAGCTTAGAAATAGATAGTCCCCCTGCGGCTTGAGCACGGAATGTCCCCTGTCCTCAGTTCCCTGCTTTAGAAAATACCCTGAAACTTATGACTAATACCCTTATGCTTACTTTTGATAATCTATCATTCTTTCCAGGCTACTCCCATCATTGTTGCTGGGTTGTTGACACCACCGGACAGCCACATCGCCAGAGGAGAGGCTCCATGCAGACCCCGGGAACCATCATGTAGCCTCTGGAGGAACGCCCAGATTTTCCCTTAAATGTCCCAGGCTAGTCTGAGAATGTTAAGGTAGTTTTTGGAGGTGTTAACCCGCTGCCTTCTCAGTCCACCGGTGCTCTGATAATAAACGCTGATTCCATAGCCCAACTCCTGTGTCGGTCTATTGGCTGAGTGAGGCAGGCAGTGCAAGCCCCGGACTCGGTTGCCCTCCGGTTTTACTCTCACACTGCTGTGGCCAGGTGAGCTGCGACCATGCTCCCCCACTCCTCTCCACCTCCAAGGGGATTATCTATACCAAGCAGCCACTGCTGATTCTATTACAACTCACCAGGCTGCCAAGTCTCTTGCTTCCTTCCTCCATATTTCTGAACAATTTTTGGAAAGGTCATGAATTTTCTATTCACACAAACCACCCACCTCTCCACCCCTGCACACACTGATGCATACTTTCTCCCACGCCCGAAATGCCAGACCCGCCAGCACCAACCAGCAGCAAGTGGCACTTCAACACCCAGGACGTTTGTTGGCCAGGAAGCTGAGAAGGGGGCGTCTGACGCTCACACAGGCTCGTCACAGAGCGGAGTATATGCGTACAATAGTGAGCAGAGACCGCTTTAACTCTTTGATGGCTTACGAATTAGTCTGTTTCAAAAAGCCTAATTCTCTAACAAGAATGCCTGTTCGATGGTGGGCTACGCCCGCCCGCAACTAAGACTGAACTTGGCACCTTGAGCTGAGCTGCCACCCAGATGACTCAGTGGATAGCGCATGTGCTCTTAACAACAAACAAGGCTGCCAGTTCGACTCCCGCATGGGATGGTGGCTATGCCCACCCACAACTAAGATTGAACACAGCACCTTGAGCTTAGAGGAGGCCACAAGCTGCCAACGGGAAGCCAGATGGCCACTGGCGTCCTTCACAACTAAGACTGAAGAACAACAAGTTGGCTGGTTTCCCCTCCCCAATTCCTCAACACTGTTCCCCTTCCCCAATTTAAAAAAAAAAAAATTTCTGACTTGATTATGTGACGGAGTTTCCAAAATTCGTATTTTGGTATGAAAAGTTTCTATAGGGATCTAATTGTATCTAACCTGTTAAGGGCGTCACAAACACCTTGTGTACATATATTTAAGCATTAGCTCCTTATATACATATGTGAGCACATCACATAAAAATAGTCCAGTAAAGTCCTCACAGACTCATCTCAAACTCCGGGGCAGCAGAAGTAGACAAAGCATGGTTCCAAGTTCAGGCCACAGCTTGAATATCAAATTATAGCATGAAAAGGCCGAGTGTTTTGTGGTGAAAGCACCCAAATTCCTTAGAGGCAAAAAGGAAGCTCAGAAAGGGAGAATAATGCCCCCAGGAAGGTGGCTCAGGGTGGGGGCAGCTCTTGCTCCCCAAAAAGCTGAAAACATCCGATGACTGCTGCCTTCTCTATCTTTCTGAATGACCCCCTTTTCCTTCCGTGCTTCTCTGGGATGGACTCCACTCTAGGGCCCCCACCTCTCTCGCTAGGGTTTTCATCAAAGGTTCTCTATGTTTTCATCACAAATATAGTCCGAATACATTCTTAAAGGGGCTACTAATAATTGTGGCGCGCTGTGTGCTGGAGCAGCTGGACCCATTCTGCCAGCATATGAGATGGTTGTCAGTGATGGCCTAACGGGTGTTTCCATTTTAATGGGTAACATTTACTTTAATGTGCATTTGAAAAAATATATAGCTAGCACCTGTAATTTTATAGATATAATTGCTCAGAATATGTCTAAGTTAAAAAAATTTGATTTCATGTTTATTTTTTTTTTAAATTAAGTAAATAATAGTCTAGGCAAAATCAAACTCTTGATTCTCCCTGCCCTCGGTGTGCCCCTCTTCCAGGATGCCCCACCTCAGTAAAGGGTGCCACTGTTGCTCCAGCCAAAACCTCGTGGTACTTCTTGACTCTTCTTTGTCTGTCATGCACCCCACGTCGGACCTGTCAGCAAATCATATCAGCTCTTCCTCCAAAATACAGCCAGCACCCAGCACTTCGCACCACTCCTCTGCCATTGCTCTGGCCCAGCCTCTGTCAGCTCATCTGGACACGCGTGAGTGCGACTCAGCAGGTCCTAGGCTTCTACTCTTGCCTCGCAAGCGCTTCTCAACGGAGGGCTTTCTCCAATCACAAATCAGACCACATCATGCCCCTACTCAAAACCAGCCAGGAGTCTCACATCACACTTAGAATAGAATCCACAAGGCTCCCTCCGACAGAGGCTACAGCCACTTCCTCAAAGCACTCCACTCCAGATTCAGATTTGTGCTCGAGGCAGTCGCCGTGGTTGTGGGGCCCTCCCGGGCCTCAGGGACTTGCCCTTGAAAGCGCCCCAGTTTGGGGGTTAATTCTGAGCACCCTCGATTTCCTGTGGATTAATTCGGGCAAGGAAGGCGTGTCTGCGTTAATCTAGATTAGTGCCTCCTAACTCCTGGGGATCTGCACTTGGGTTTAATGGAGGCTCAAGTGTTTCAGGAGTTTCTTAAATTCAAGGTTTATGGGGTGGTTTTCTGGAGGCCTTGGGTCTTAAGAGTTAATCCTGTGAGAACTGAGTCCTAAGGGTTAATCCAGGGAGCCGGTTGTTTGGGTATTAATTTTGAAATCGTACTTATTAGATAGGGAATGAATCCTGGGTGGATGTTGTTGTGTCTTGGAGAGTAACCCGTGCTGAAAGACTGAGCGTGCGTACCAGAAGCAGCCGACCATCTTTCAAAATAAGAAGAGGGTCTTGCTTGGAGAAACTGGCAAAGAGAAGCTTCTGCGGTACTACAAGAACATTGGTCTGGGCTTCAAGACGCCCAAGGAGGCCATTGCGGGCACCCACATTGACAAGAAATGCCCCTTTACCGGTAATGTTTCTATCCGGGGGCGCATCCTATCTGGCGTAGTAACCAAGGTGAAGATGCAGAGGACCACTGTCATCCGCCGAGACTACCTCCACTATATCCGAAAATACAACCGCTCTGAGAAGCGTCACAAGAACATGTCTGTGCACCTGTCCCCCTGCTTCAGAGATGTCCAGATCGGTGACATTGTCACAGTGGGTGAATGCCGACCCCTGAGCAAGACTGTGCGCTTCAATGTGCTCAAGGTCACCAAGGCTGCAGGCACCAAGAAGCAATTCCAGAAGTTCTGAGACTGGATACCTCCCCACTCCACTGAACAAAATAAAGTTATTTTCTCAGTAAAAAAAAAAAAAAAAGCACTCTACTCCAGCCATTGGGGAGCCTTGCTCCCCAAACAGGCAGGCCTTTGCATCCCAGTTCCCTCAGGCAGGAATACTCCCTCTCATATCCCCCACTGCACCTCATCAAATGTTGGGGTCTTCCCCTACCACGCAGTCTGAAATGGCTCCTCTACCATTCTGTGTGTGATTCCAGACTATTCTCCACAGCACCACCTGATGTTATGTTATAGATGTTATCATACCATATATAAGCTGTATTTGTTCATTGTTTACTTCTGTCTCCCTCTTAGAGTGAGGGTAGTGTCCCCTGCACCTACACGGTACCTGCCACAGAGCAAGTGCTCGGTGACATTGGAGAGAATGAACCACAGGTCGCAGAACCAAAGGTGGACCTTCACAGCTCGAGTGTGACCATGCCAGGCTAGGAGTGTAGCATGTTAGTTCATTTAACAATAACAACACTTCTGGGAAGTCCTCTCGGTTGGGGAAACGAAGGTTCAGGAATGTTCCGTGACTTGCCCAAGGCCATACAAGATTCATACTCTGTTTTATCAGGCTGCAAAGGGACTAGGTTCTTTTGAACACATCAAGCTATCTTCAAAAGCTCTTTTTTTCTTCAAAAGGTCTTTTAAAGTACCACACTGCCTGGGGACAACAGGTGAAACTTCTCAGGATGTCATTCCACTGAGCACTCTGCCACCTGGCCCCAGCACATCCTTCCAGCACCATGTCAACAAATCCCTGCAAGCCTCCACTGGCCGGGTCAAATCAGGCCACCCACAGCCCCCCCACACACTGGCACGAGTACCTTACACATTGTTTTCGTGGTATATGGCTCCTTCGCCCAAGCTGGACTGCAAATGGAGCGAGGGTGTGCACATGCCTTATTCACCTTCATATCCCCAGGCTCAGTAACCACAGACTAGCAGCCCTCACAGCCATCTGCTGAATGATGATGTTTGAGCTGCTCTCACGACTCAGGACAGCAGAGGGCAGGACAGCAAGCCCCGCACACCACCTGCATACTCAGATACCCTGTGAGCAGAAATGTCCCGATCATCATAAGGGTGGGAGGGGCCTTGTGTAGACACCCGTCATCCCTTTGCTTTCATCAAGATACTATGAGCTTGGGCCAGTGAGCTGTGCCAGAGCTGAGCTCCTGGCTGAGCCACCAACAGGTGGCAGGATGGCTCAGCTGGTGAGAGCACGTGCTCCTCAACAAGGTTGCTAATTCGACTCCTGCATGGGAATGGTGGGCTATCACCACCACCCTCTCGCCCCCGCAATTAAGATTGAACATGGCATCTTGAGCTGAGTGGACGTGAGCTGCCAACGGGTGGCCAGATGGCGACTGGACTTGGAGCTGAGCTAGCTGCGCCCTCCACAACTAAGACTGAAGGACAACAACTTGGCTGTTCCCCTTCCCCAATCCAATAAAATCTTAAAAGAAAAAAAAAAAAAGATGAAGCTATGCGCTTAAAGCTAACTAGGCTATTTTCCAAAGATTCCACCACCACCCAGGAACACATCCTGGAGCTAGTAAAGCTCACCTTCTATCTAACCCAAGTCCCTTGGGCTCCATCACACCTACAGGGGAGGGAAGCTGGCAGCCAGTCTCCTCAGCAAGCTAAGCCAGCCTTCAGCAGTTGTCACTCTCAGCATTTGCCACACAATCCAGCCAGTGTTTCTGAAATGTTTATAATGGGGATATTTACACAGGGGCCCTGACCTCTGGGTGCTTAAAAAGCAAGAGGGCCAGGCCTACCTAACCAACTCAATGACAAGGCTGACCTGCCAAGAAGTAGTTAAATAAAGGGGGGCAGCCAAAGGTGTAGGGAGGAAGAGAGCGACCCCCTATCCCCAACTGGGAGCTGCTTTCCTGGATGAGCAATTTCAGAGTCTACACAAAGCCTGTCATCAATATGCAATTCTGTTGCTTCAAGACCCTCAATGGCAGGAGGGCCTCTGTTGAGCACTAGACCTGACTACAAATAATTTACTGACTGCTTTACAAATATTTACTGAATGCCTGGCACCTAGTGGTGGTAGGTGCTGATGACACTATTCATTGTGGATCACAAGTCCCAAAGGAGTTCACTTTCCAGTACAGGAGGCAGACAACGCCACAGGCAATTACAACAGACTGCCACGTCTGGGGAGGGCCCGTGGGACCGGCACCCTATCCTGGCAGGTCAGGATAGGCCCATGGTGCCAACATGTGTGTGCATCTATGTACATGTGTCAGGAGAATACAGGGGCTGGAAGACATCAGCTAAGAACTTATGAAGTCCCAGAATGGGGGTAGGGGTGAGTCTCAAGATAATCCTCCCACTGCCTGCTCTCACTTTACAGGGAAGAAAACTGAGGTGGACTGAGGCAGAGAGAGAGACAGAGCCAGGACCCAAGCCCAGGTTGCCTGACTCGTCATTCCTTTGGCATAAGTTAGAGGTTAAGAGGGTTTCTGGAATGACCGCCTGATTTTAATTCTGCCTCTGCCACTTACCAGTTCTGTGGCCTTGGGCAAATGACACCTCTCTATGCCTCAGTTTCCTCATCTGTAAGGCTGTTAGGAAAACTTACAATGTAAAGCAACTGGCACAAAGCCTGGGATGTGGTAAGCGGTATAAAAGTGGCTGCTGCTGCTTTGATTATCGTCCCACGACCGCTCACTGCCAGGGGTGGGCTCACCACCCTTGCTCTCTCCGCTGCCGCGCGGCCATGTTCCCTTCTAGCTCCAGAATGTTTCCACCCTCGACGCGCCCTTGACGCTATAGGGAACTCCAGGATTAGGAATCCGAGCCCCCGAAGGTCGGGCACACAGCGCGCACGCGCAGAGCTCGCGGGGCCGCACGCGCCCCCGGCCTAGGGAATGAGGGGGCCGGCCCTGGAGAGGGGAGGGCGGTGGTCACGTCCCGCCAGGGACAGGTAGGCGGCCCACGACGAGGTGGGAGCCGCGCCTGCACCCGACATGCTCCCCGCCACCCCACCCCGGGCTCCCAACCCCCCAGCCCGGAGAGCGGGTCTGTTCCTCACACTCTGCAGCAGGCTCCTCCTCTGCGCCGCCATCTTGAAGGGACCCCGCGGGCACGCCCGCCTCCCGGCAGAGCAGACGAGAAGTGCGGCTAGAGCGGCCTAATGCCGGCCCGGAGGACCGCGCTGCCGGGGAGCATGCGCCCAGCGCCACCCCGCGGCCGAGCGAGACGTGGCTGAAGGGGACTGTGCACGCAGTCGCAGTTTTCCACCTTTTCTCTAATGGGAGATAATGGGAAAGGCTTCCGTTTGTGATGCCCCTCGCCCATCTTTATTTGCACACTTTCCCCAGGATGCCTTTCAGGTGGGGCTCACAAAGCCCCGGATTAGGTTCTGTATGAACACGATGGGGAAGGCAGAAGGTGAGTTATTCATTCACGCAATAAATATTCATTGGATGACCGTGCCTAGTCCTTTAGCGGTGAAGCAGTAAGCAAAACAGTCCCTCAAAATCTAACATTTTAATTGGGGAAGACGTTTACATACATAAGTCTTTCACGTGGTGCTAAATGCTAGGAAGAGAAGTTTATGGATGAGGCATGGGAGTGCAGTGCTAACTGGCAACAGGGAAGGGAAAACCAGGGCAGAAGGGACAGCGAGTGCAGGCCTGAGGAAAGGGAGCCTGTGGCTTCAAGAAGTACGCACATTACAGATGTGGCTGGAAAAGAGAGGGAGGGGGAGTGAGATGAAGGGGCGTAGGGCAGACTGACCTTGCGGGGCCCCAGGCAGGAGTTGGGCTATTCATCTGGAGGACAAAGGGGAGCTGTGGACATCCAAGCAAGCCATTGACATGATCTCATTAGTAGAAAGATCCCTTTGACTACTGTGTACAAAACAGATTTTTAAAAGGATTGGAGTGGAGACAGGAAGACTGATTAGGGGACTGTTGTGCCAGTTCTAGGTGAGAGTTGATAGTGGTTTGATTTGGCTGATGGCAGTGAGTGGACTTTATTTAGGAGACGAAATTGTCGATGCTTGAGCAAGGATTGGTTGTGGGTGGTGCTGTGTCAAAGATTCTTCCTCCAGATTTCTGGCAAGAACAGCTAGGTTTGGGGGAGGGAGTAGGTAATGACCATGAGTTCAGTCTGGATGTGATGAGTTTGAGGGCTTTTGAAAGATGCAAGAAAAGAAGTCAAACCAGTCTTTAGATGGAGAGGGCTGGAGCTCAGAGCAGAGGCTAAATTGGGAAAGACGACAGAAGGAGCAGCTGGAAAGGCAGGGGAGCAGAGGCAGCACAACCCAAGGTGAGGAGT